GCGCACATAGTAGTCGAACGCTGAGTGTTCATGAGTGTTTGAATATAGCGGGTTTGATTAAGAAATTCCCCAACGATACTGCAAGCAATATTCATCAGTAGAAGCCTAAACACATGTATTGTGAACACTATTCTACTCCGGAGATAATAGCTAGTGACCACCAGCTGGGTGAGAGATGAAAATGTTACGAATGTACACAAACGCTCACCACCCTACATAGTCTTGAAGCACCAGCTCTCGAAAAACATACCCCTGGAGTCTCTAGTTAAAACCTTTTCAGAACAACATCTTTGGAACAGAACGACGTAAAAGTCCCGCTCGAGATTTGCATTAGATCGAAACGCCTCAAGCAAACCCCCGTAGCAACATGCTCAGCCATAGACAGCATTTTTCCTGCAAAATCCCCAAATCCTGTGTTTTGGCGGAGATGCCAGACCCAATTTTGGATTTTTGGAATGTGGGATCTTGGGGTTTCCATGAGAATCCAAAAACCCAAAATTCAACAATCCAAGAATTCAAATCCAAAACTGGTTTTGGCATCTCCACGAAAGTATCGCATTTTCGGATTTTGCAGGAATGGTGCCTGTTGGTAGAGTAGTGCTACTTCCGAAGGAACACTGTTTCGCTCTTTCGGCTAAAGCATCGAAGTGAGCAAGAGGGGTTAGCTTACAGTTGGTTTTTCACCACGCCAGATATGCGAAAGTCAGAGACTTTTAACCCGAAACAGAAATGCGGGCACATGGGGGGTACCATGAAAATGTTAGTATGGTGTTGTAATGATATGACATTTCGAGGACTGCTAACTGCTGACAGAACAGAAACAGCACAGGGGCACGGAGAGTGGGATGAGTGGGCAGCATCCTTCCACTGAACGCAGGATGTGTGATGAGCACCTTCCACATGTATCCCCGCAAATGCAACGGAACGGGGCGTTCAAACTTCCCAGAGTCTCAGAAAGGATTACAGAATCCCGACTTTAGACTCTTTGAGCCTCGCGAAGGTCAGGGTCCACCTGGAGAGCCTCAACCTGGCACCGCAGAGGCGACGTGCTCCGCAAGCCAGCCCGCAACGCGTGTCTCTCTCGACGCGACGTTTCGATGGCCGTGTTTGGTCGCCGTTTCGTCTCTGATCGTTTCCGTCCACCTCCGGTTCAAAGCACGAGAACAGCACATCGCCAAGCAGATGCCTGCAAAAGGAACATCAGTGGCAGGGCTTCATGAACAAGAACCTGGAGCCAATCCAGATCTAGCGTTCGGCTTTGTAGCTGCATCTAAGAAGCGGTTCAGCTGTGGCAGCAGCCTGCGTTGCCTGCATCACACATGGGTGATATGGGATGAGTCGGTCGGTTGGCAGAACGGTGCTGCCCTGTGAGGCTAAGACCCTGACGCTCACCGAGGCGCTGCTTCGGCGAGTCGGTCTGCGGGATTTCTCCTCCTTCTGCGGCCTCACCTCAAGACTACAGCATACTGCGGCATGCGCATACCTCACACTTCCCTCTTCACATCCTTCCACCATCAGCAGATCCTTATGTCAGCTCCCCTTCTTGTCCTCATTCTCAGGCAACAAGACATGTCCATTTGCTGACAGGTGCACCGGCTCGGTTTGGTGCACCGGTCCGTCGGAAAGTGATGAGAGGAGCTAGTGCTATGAAGCGGACTTCCGGCATCCATCATGGAGTGAGTTGAATGGAGGTCCATTGGCTGGACACCGGGGCGTAGTGCCAGCTTTCCCGAATTCTGGGTGATGGTTCGCCTGCGGGGTCAACCCTGACATCGGTTGGACCATGCAGTGGTTTGCTGCACAAGCCTGAGCTTGGCAACATTAAAGGAAGCGACGATTAAGCATGGTGCAGTGACGTGCGACCGCAGCATCGACCTGTGGACATCTAGATGGAACGTGGCGAGCAAAGACTGCCGGCGGTGTCGCACTCCGACGTCTAATATCACAATGTCTTTGTGGTGCGGTGGGGCTCTCGAGGCCTGAATGGTAACGGAAAGGTATGACAGTTGTCAAGTTGTGGCAACTTGGTAAAAGGCTTGCCCAAAGGAAGGTGGCACAGTTACGACCAAGGCAAGATGGACGGGCGCACTGCGACTTTCGCAGAGACTGCAAGGCCAATGCGAGTGGTCCTAAAGGCATAAGATCCACGCGTGGCGAGCTGCGAGGCTTTCCTCTTCAATACGCATGCGCTGTAACGGCACCGGCATACCCGAGCCGTTCTTGTCCGGTTCCACTCTTTGCGCGAAACGTATTGACACAGGAATCTTGACGCTCATGACAGGAGTGCGAAGGTGAAAATGCCTACTCCGTTTGGGCTCCGGCACTGCGAATTGCCTTGGAACCTCAAGAAGGAGACCGCCAGGTCCAGGCTCATAACTCTTGCAACACAGGATCAAGTCTGCAGGCACCCAGCTGCCTAAGTGATGCTAAGTGTAACGCTCACAAGGCTCTGGATATCATCCAGAACTCCGGGGTAACACCTCGCGTTAGTTCGAGTCTCGGCAACATCAATACAAGATCGAGCACGTTGTCACGAGACAGACCCGATCCAGCAGAATCAAGGTCCCGACTGCGCCAATTCCTCGTCCACAACTATGCCAGAGCCATCACCTGGGCCAATCTGGTCAAGCACTTGCGGACTTATGCCCAGGCGCTTGCAGTTTCTGTGCAAGAAGAACAAAAGCCTTGCAATGTGGATGGATTTCAAGATGCCTTGCAACTTGCAACGTCGGTTGTGTGGTCCTTCTGGGCACTCCCTTGCTGGAAAAGTGCGTCTTCCGGTCAGAGATTCATTCGATCTCCCGGCAAGGCTTGCAGCGCACTGCCCACGAGCACGAAATTCCCAAATTTTGGCAAAGCTAAAAGCGAAGCAAAGCAGCAGCGTGGCGGGAGTTAGGATGATAAAGCAAACCTTGAGACAGTAAACAGATCCCTCGTGCCCAGCGATGCGGAGCGATACATGAAACACGCCAAGTTATAAGCCAGCACTTCGCAAGTAGCGCCTCTGAGGCGGAGGTGATGCCTTCGTTTCTTTAGACCAGATCTCTCGATCCTCCGAGAAATGCCCTTAACGCATAGACCGGCGAAAACGCGAGTCCTCCCTGCAGGTGCGGATCTGCTCGAGTTCCTGAAGTGCGCTTCCAAACCGCGACCTTCCCATGTGTGAGCTTGAAGCTCATTTCTGGGCGGACCTAGCAGGATGCTGCACTCTTCCTGCGCTTTTCGTCATTGAAAGGCCAAGCTTCGGCGTTAAAAGAAGCCTCACTGCAACCCCACCGACCAAGAGTGCACGTTCCTACAAAAGCGACAGGCAGCGCAACGGAAGCCCGCCCAAGGAGGAGACCAGATATGATGCTGATGATGCTGCATTTCTGGTACCAGGGCCGTTGATGCTCACCATGCATCATTGGGCTTCGTGGTTAGTGAGTCCCCTTCCGTGTCCTGGCATTGTCCGCTTCTGGCTGCATTCCTGCCTCCTCTGGGGTGCCCTACTGTGCTCCCGCCACAGTGCGGTGCGCATTTCGGAGCTTCCAGGGTGCTCTTGGAAGGGTCATTGCTCGGCTAGGTCTTGCATAAGGCTTGGAATGCCAAGTGCTCTTTCACTCTCCGGGGGTCGACGCTGGCATAATGAGGCCTGCAGGCCCTGGTGATGCTTTGCATGGCACGTATCAGCATTGGTCGTGGCGCTCCAGGACGATCCGTGTGTGACGTGATCCTCGCAGCTTCCAGGCCCGACCTTTCCCAGAATCACGATAGTCAGACGATGCTGACCGAATCTTGATACAGCAAACCGAGCACTTTACAATCAACTTCTCCCCCCCCCATGATGAAAAGTGTCAGCTCGCTCGAATCGGGTGTATCGATTTGTAGCCAGCCGTCTTGAAAGGCACACCTCGCACTCAAGCGGCTGCTATCTCCAGAAGCGCCGAGGGCCAGGGGGCGGTCCTTCCCTACGTCGGAACATCATTTCACACCGGCCATGTGCAGTTATAGCTCGTGAAATTCGTGGAGCTGCGCATGATTTGCAAAATTCACAAAGCCGTACCCTTGACCTTTCTTTTCTTGATGCCGGCTCTTGCTTCCGGTTCCTTGCAACAGCCTCAAGTGATGCAAGGTCGACACATGATGAGGTGCGGCAACTTAGAAACAGGATGAAGCACAAAACGAGGGCTGCGAAAAGAATGATTAGACGTCTTTCAGGTTGCCCCCACCTGCTCGGAGCAAGTGTAGAAGGTCTGCGCTGCTCTTCACAGAGAGCGGGGACCTGCAATTTCGATCTGTATGCTGCCGTAGGCGCAACGCCCACCGTTGCCTCCAATGCCCAGCGTCCTGGCAAACGCTGCAGGCGTGAACAAGGGAGAATTGCCCAAGCCTGAACGAAAGGCATGCGCAGCCGAGACTCTATTCAGCAACACTGTGAAGCAGAGCACGGCCGTGAAGCTAAGATTGCAAGTGCGGCTCCTCGTTGTCATCGGTTCCCGGCCCTTCCTGCAAGGCATCTTTTCGGCGTGTGCGAGCCCACTCCCGGGGGCTCCTGTCGAAGGAGGTGACGGGCCCAGGAGGGCTGATCTTCGTTCCGCATCGCCTCAGAGGTTATGTCGCCATCCTACCATCCACGAACTGCATATTTGCCATCTTACCTCGTCTGTTGATGCACTTGTTGCTGTCATGCTCGAAACCAAATTATACCAAATTCCGCTGAGCGGCCACAAGGGCGCCATCCCGCTTGGAAGTCATGGCCCCCTACTACTAGCCGGTACATTATGGAGTATGGAAGGACAGGCTTTTTCTTTTGCAGAGTCTTCAAACCGGGTTCTCTGGTCCAGATTGGGTGCAAAACTTATTGCAGTATACGGGATATTACGGGATTAGACTGTCAACATGCCAACCTAAAACTCGAGGATCTGCAGCCATAGAATCACGAACGGCCAAGAACACCGGCATGGCTAAGCCATACTTAATGCCAAACCTGGCTGGACACCGATTTCAAGATGTTGGCATCAGCTTCCATTGGGACTTCTTAGGGCCGCTGAGGGCGCATGAGGCTCAACCAGTCCCAGGACATCACCTGAGGTCAGGTGCGAGACCGTCCCCCGCTCACAGGTGCAGATGCAGGCATAGGCCTGCACTCTCCAGCAGGCCGGGCGGCGAAGACTGCCTGCAAGACGCACCCTCCTATACCCTGGCTTCCAGTGTCTCCGGCCGGAGAGTTGCAGTTGGATTTTGCAACAGAGGGACAAGACCCTGCAGGCGTGATGCCAGGAATTCTTAAGTGTTGATCATCGTCCAAGTACAAATGACATTTATCCTGAGAAGAACAAGTGCATCATAAGCAAAGTAACACGGAAAGATTGCACCTGGCATTCGCAACAGCACTATCGCTGAGATGATCGCCAGAGGCAGTGTTGTGTGTAGTCTGAACTTGTCTTGTGTCACTGCTGGAGTCCGGAGCCAGGATGAGGCCAAGAAACCGGGAAAACTCGAGCTCTAGGTGACACTGAGCCTAGCAGTGGATCCGAAAACTTGTTTTGGTTCACCATTGTTCCGCTTTTCACACTTTGTTGGGCATATGGCACACGAAGGCCCGTCTCTAGGCCTCTCCCTCCTTCCGAAATGCATTTTGCAGGAGACGGCTTGCTAACACAGGTGATCAGGGAAAACGTCCATCAAATGTGACTTAAGCAGAAAACGACAACTGCCAAACGAACGCCAAACGATGCCCTTCTCATGTCAATGTGATCCCTGTCAAGACGGGATCCAAGCTCTTACCCATGCCAAAGAATGTGATGGAACAGGAAGACGGATATCAAACAAACACCGTCCCCAACCATGTGGACGTTAGTAATTAGTCTGATTATGGCTTTGGCCCTTTCTGCGGCCTCGAAATCTCATCTGGGTCGAGGGTTGGCACGTCATACCTCATTTCTCGACTCAGGAAGTTGCAAGGATGCGGGTTGCTGTAACATGTCAGCGTGCCTGGCCTCCCATGCCTTCATGCGCAAAGCAACCGTGACCTGACTGGCCCCTGCATGGTATTTGCAAAGCAAGCAGTAGCATTGCCGCCACTCGGTGAGACCATGCATGGTCACGTCCCCGCACAAAGAACTCTGCTGCAACCAAGTCAACGGCCAAGAGTGCCGCAGCCCTTTGCTGCCGATGCCTGCAGTGAACTGTCTTGTATTGAGTAAGCCACACGTCCGTGAGCCTCGCAGCGGTGCTGTGGGAAAGACAAACCGCAGCATGGGCAAACCTTAGGAGAATACCGTCTTAGATGGGTGCTGCTGTGAATGTCTATGGCGCTTCGGATCTTCTGTGCAAGCATGCAGGTCTCGGGGGGTCCAGAAAAGCTCGGCGTTATGCCCATTTGCTGCAGAGCCGGAGCAGTTGTTGACCAACCTGCACAGGGAAGGGACACCCAGATTCTTTGTATTCTTTGGGCGACATGATTTCCAGCGCTGAATCTTGCCTTGTCCCGTGTCGCCCAGGCCATGCAGCCATATCTGGGCAGCTTGTTGTGCTGCACTGCCGCGGATCATTAATGGGCCCTCGGCCCTAACTTTTCGAAGCTCACGGCCGAGCTGCAACAACCGCTTCACCCTCTGCTTGTGCAGGAGGCGTACTCAGAACCTGGAAGTACAGCAGCAGGCGAGTTTCACGACCGAGCTTGCCAGCATGGATGCTTTCGGAGCACCTCTTCAGCTACAGCTGCTCCCCATCGAGGATGCTTAGATCTTTGCGCTCGCTGGACTGCAGAGGGCTAAGTGCTGGAGTGACACTCCTTGACATGACTGTGCCGCACGGCCTGTCAAGCCGCAAACCGCGACAGCGAAGCCCGGAGACGGCAAGGCCTTCGGACATGGCAGCAGTTCGGAAATCTCTGTGGCCTCAGCCGGCTAAATGAGTCCCCTAGCCTCCTAAGCCTCCCGCTTTTGGATTTACGCTTCTCATGAGTCCGTCTCCTTCTGATTCGTCTTCAAGTTTTCTCGAAGCAGCATTGTGTCTGCGAGACGCGCCTCAACACCTCGGTTCAAGGTAGCCTGGTCTTGATAACCGTTCGCGCTATTTGATCCAGGTCCCCTGAGCCAACCTATACCAAGGCAAACCTGGCGGCACATACCCTTACAGCCGATCTCGGCGGGGTCCACCGGCAACTGGCAATCTGTCTGAAAATGCACTACATCCGCATCGAGTAGCTCCTCGTACATCCCCTGATTTGCAGCTTGTTCGGTGTTGATGATTTTCAATGCCAACCTCTCCTTTTCTTCCTCTTCTCTGAAGCATACGCCTCTCTTCCTCCCGTTGGGGCCCCTCCCTTGCTTGCTGGGCGTTTGGAGGTTGGGGGCTGTGCCCCTCCCCCTTGCGCAAAGCGCTGCGCCATGGTCCGACGTCCGAAGCAACAGGTTTTAGATCGGCCCAGTGCTGTAGAAATGGGTCAGCTGACGCTCCTCCTCTTCTCCCAGGCATAAGGGGCGAGTTCAGCCACCCGGGCACTAGGCCCGCCTGCTTTACGGGCTGTGAAGGGGGGAGTGAAACTATGAGATGGTTCTATGACTGAAACAGCCGGGAAAATATCATCATGGTCATCATCATCACCACCATCATCATGATCGTCATCATCATCCTGTGTTTTGCAGTCTATAGCCACCTCTGTTTGAGGACAGCTTACTCTTGCACTGGTGGACTAACGAACTCGATGCTGAGCATGGGAACTCTGCATCGTGACCACACTGCTTGTGGAATCGCGGAGCACGCAAACAAACGAAACTAAACAAGCTCTGAATCCTGGAGCTTGCCAGGAATCGAAAGTCAACGCTGCATTTACATGTGCTGTCCAGCCTTGCGATGGCAAAGCCGGGCCTTCCTGCTTCGAGCTTGGCAGCTCTCTAAACTGCAAAACTGCTTGAAAGTGAATGCCTCGGCTGACTACTGGTGGAAGCCACCGTCCCTGAAGGTAGCGCCTGCGCGTCAGGAGCAAGATGTGCCGTGCCTGTACTTCTTGCTTGTAGCTTTGCTAGCACCCAGCAACCGCTCAGTCCAATCTCCAAACCCGAAATTGATCCTTCCCTCGAGCCTGGGAAGGCAGCCTCTGCAAGAAAACCTGATGCTACTTGCTGCAATTGCTTGCAGAAACAAGCTATGGTCATAATATCATAGCGCTTTGACAGCCAAACAGACATGTGCACGCTCTTGGGTCCCAACTGTAGCACACTCACATGTTGCTTACCATTCTCACGTTTTGCCACATCATTTCACATCGCTGTAAACAAAGATCGAAGACCGATGTAGCTTGCAGGTAAGAACTTCACGCTTTGTCGCCATAGCTATGATGCAGCAAGTCCAATTACTGTTTTTCGTCTTCGGAAACGTTTTTTGATCCAGGCCCAGGCGGTATTGTGTGAATTGAGAAGTCGTGGTTGAACCATCTCGCTTAAGAAGTTTGATACCTTTTGTGCACACTTCACTACGGCGGGGTTCAAGCCTCACATTGTCATAGTTTGACAAAGAAGTTACAGGTACGCCACTTTTATGTGATGCGTTCCAGGCTCACTTTGCTGTTCAGCAATTGAAGACCGAGGTCGGCCCTACAGACCAGGTGGCACCTCTTGAGCAAATTACATCTGCAGCAGCCTGAGGGAAATGTTGGCTTCGACTGTTGAGCCAGATATCTGCCACGTAAGCGAAACCGAAATACTGCAAGTACAATTGACTGAGTAACCGTTCGGATTCACGTGGGAGAGCAACACGATCTAGTAATATCATGGATTCTCGCCTGCATTCTCAGCTGACTGGTTGTGCTGCAGCCAACTTGAGAGAAAAACAATGCTTTAAGTTTGTCCTCTTCATACCTTATCCCCAGGAGTCGCAATGCGCAGAAAAAGAGGGTTTGCCCTGATGCCCGACCCTTCAGTTTCCGTCGCGGGGCTAGCTATTGGTAATTAGTTAGCTTTCAGCCTTCGCTCAGCAGTAGGGGCCGAGCACAACTGTTGGATACGAAGTCTGAGGTTGGTGCAGAGATTTCCATGGAGGCCAGGAAGCGCTTTTAAAAGCTGACATAGAACAACGCATCGCTCGTGCTACCCACTGCGTCGCTATGTTTTGGAAATGTCGTTTGCGACGTGGATCTCTTTGAACGAACAAAACAATGGCTGTTCGTGCACGTCTCTAGGGCTGGCAGAAATCGTCTCTATGTGTTCACACCAGTCTGTTCGTGCTACAAGGCCTGGTCAGGAACCTAGAGATCGCGGGAATGAGAGACGATGTGCTTCCAGAAACCTGAACATGCACCAGTGCCACTTTGCAAATTCCAAGAGCCTTTGCCGGACTTGTCAAGACATGTTATCCAACCCATCTCAATACCATTTCGTCTTCGCAGGATAATCTCACACACTCACCACCACACAGACTCGCCAAACCACGGCGCACTTGAATGTCCAGACGCTTGGCACGACCCTGCATGCCGAAACATCTCACATGCACATACACATTGGTGCAACATCAAGAAAGCAGTGCTGCCTGCAGTGTGCAGCCAACAAAGAGGCTGTCAAAAATATCCCAGAATCGTGACTTTGCGCGGTTCTTCCTGTCGCAAGAAGGCCCAAGACCTGTTGGCTGCCGTTGCTACCCTGCCAATGCACAACTCTGCAAACGACACGAGTTGACTTACACGCGCCCTGCCAAACGTTGTCTGCAGGTCGAAGATTATAGCATGAGAGGCTCTGCAAAGAGTCAATGCTCGGAAAGCTTTTGTGTATCAGCGTGTTATTGGACGGGTGTTGGCAGCCTTTGACCAACACTCAATGCATCGATAAACTATTTACATTTCTGCTGCAGCTTTTGTTCCAAGTTATCGGTACCCACTGCAGCAGCTAAACAAGCATACTGCCGCTCTGGCTGTAGAGCTTCAGAGATAGCCTTCTGAACGACTTGGCTTCATCGCGCTCATCGCACTCGCAAGGAGCAGTCCATCGGCGGAAGGTCCCTTGGTTTCAGTTGACAAATGGCTCTCGCTCTCTGCGCAACTGAAAGTACTTGTTGATGTGCCGTGTGCGCCTGATTCCCCTTTCAGGACGCAGCAACAAATCGAGTGGGAGTTATGCCAATTCAATACAACACAAGCGCGGTAGATTCACGAGTCACATCGTGTCACACTGTCTTCGATGCAGGATGACTCGCTGAAGCTTCAAGTTGTAGGAACCTCTCTAGAGTCAAGGAGTGAATTAGGTCACTTTGCAACGAGCCTGGAGCAATGCTGACAGGGTGCGCTCTGACGAAAGTCCATCGTCTGGGTTCTCTTCCTTCTTGCTCGGCTGTTGAGCAATCTCTGCTGATCAGATAAAGCCTCATGGCAGCACCCAATCAAGCGACACCGGGTGCGAGTATGGGCGGGGTATACCAGACTGGAAAGTGTTGAACTCCTTGCAGATGGTTGCTCTGAAAGTGTGCAGGCCGCCTCCTGAATGCGTTGCTCAGCAAACCGGTCCGAACGCTGCGCGCTGACAAGCTCGTCAGCTTGCTCCTGGAATCTTCGCTCTTCGGACTTGTGTGGGGGGAAGGGCCCACGGCCCACGCATCCATGCGTTTCGCCCTGTCCTTCTTGAGCATCTCCAGCTTCTTCTGCTCCTTCTTTGCAAGCTGCTCCTCGAGCTTTGACGTCCACAGCGCTCGACAGCATACCGCCCTGCTACCGCCCTTTGGCTGGATTCTCAGCAATTTCCCATCTACTCGGGTATAGACGGTATGGCTTCATGGTTGTGCCAATACAACCGATGCCAGAAAGTCCAAGCGATCCCACCACGGCCCTCCCAAATCCCACACTGATGGACCTGGGACTGGCGGAGGATCGCCAGAAGCTGCTGCATAACACCCTTGCAGGATGTGGAATCGGAATGGGACTTGGACTTCAGAAGTTGACTCTCCCGAAGTCTCGCAGCTGCCTCCTTCTGGGCAGATGCTTCCGGAAGGGGATGCTGCCGAAGATAGCAATACTCCCGCCCGACCTGGCTTGACACGTGCACTGATATGTCGACAACTCCGCAGTATAGGCATATCCCTGACACGCTGCACCTGAAGCCTTTTGGTGACATCGTTCGTGCAGCCAGCGGGGCAAGTGCAGATGCAAGGTGCAATCGTGCCGGACAGCTCCGGCCACGGCGGTGGGATCAGAACCTGACTTTAGCTACCTTCAGATGGCAGAGCGGGGACGAGCTTGGCTGAGGCGAGCGAGCTAAGAGCTACAGTGCCGGCTCTGTTAAGAAAACACTGGCTCTCTGGATTTTCCAGATATATGCAATTTCACTGCCCCTTCTAACTAAGAAAATGAGTGCCCTCTGACGTTCGGACCCTATTTTCTTAAAAGTGTCCGTGTCCGGGGATCTGATGAAGGAAATGAACACTAATTTCCTCAAGTAGTGGCATACATGTATGTTCCACCGATTGCTGGTTGCCTGAAGGCGCGATCACCCTCAATACGGTTAAGAAAATGAGTTCTCCTTTTCCGAACACTGTCTCCACGTTGATTTTGGCCCGCCCAGACCCCAATGCTCCAAATCCATCCGTTAATAAGGTTAAGAAAACGAGCACTCATTTTCTTCGCACCCTTTTCCACATGGATTTGGAGCATTGGGGTCTGGGCGGGCCCAAATCCATGTGGAGACAGCGTTAAGAAAACGAGTACTCATTTTCTTAGCACCCTTTTCCACATGGATTTGGGCCCGATCAGTTAAGAAAACGAGTACTCATTTTCTGCGCACCCTTTTCCACATGTATTTGGAGCATTTGGGTCTTGGCGGGCCCAAATCCATGTGGAGACAGTGTTAAGAAAACGATACTCATTGTCTTAGCACCCTTTACCACATGGATTTTCGAGCATTGGGGTCTGGGCGGGCCCAGATAAATGTGGAGACAGTGTTAAGAACACGAGTACTCAGATTCTTAGCACCCTTTTCCACATGGATTTGGAGCATTGGGGTCTGGGTGGACCCAAATCCATGTGGCGACAGTGTTAAGAAAACGATACTCATTGTCTTAGCACCCTTTACCACATGGATTTGGAGCATTGGGGTCTGGGCGGGCCCAAATCCATGTGGAGACAATGTTAAGAAAACGAGTACTCATTTTCTTAGCACCCTTTTCCACATGGATCTGGGTGGAGACAATGTTAAGAAAACGAGTACTCATTTTCTTAGCACCCTTCTCCACATCGATTTGGAGCATTGGGGTCTGGGCGGGCCCAAATCCATGTGGAGACAGTGTTAAGAAAACGAGTACTCATTTTCCTAGCACCCTTTTCCACATGGATTTGGAGCATTGGGGTCTGGGCGGGCCCAAATACATGTGGAGACGGTGTTAAGAAAACGAACACTCATTTTCTTAGCACCCTTTTCCACATGGATCTGGGCGGGCCCAAATCCATGTGGAGACAGTATTAAGAAAACGAGCACCCATTTTCTTAGCACCCCTTTCCACATGGATTTGGAGCATTGGGGTCTGGGCGGGCCCAAATTGATGTGAAGACAGTGTTAAGAAAACGAGTCCTCATTTTCTTAGCACCCTTTTCTGCATGGATTTGCAGCATTCGGGTCTGGGCGGGCGCAAATCCATGTGGACACAGTGCTAAGAAAATGAATATTCAGTTTCTTAGCACCCTTTTCCACATGGATTTGGAGCATTGGGGTCTGGCCGGGAAAAACCATGTGAAAACGGTGTTAAGAAAACGAGTACTCAGTTTCTTAGCACCCTTTCCCACATGGATTTGGCGCATTGGGATCCGGGTGGGCCCAAATCCATGTGGAGACAGTGTTAAGACAACGAGTACTCATTTTCCTAGCACCCTTTTCCACATGGATTTGGAGAATTGGGGCCTGGGCGGGCCCAAATCCATGTGGAGACAGTGTTAAGAAAACGATACTCATTGTCTTAGCACCCTTTACCACATGGATTTGGAGCATTGGGGTCTGGGCGGGCCCAAATCCATGTGGAGACAATGTTAAGAAAACGAGTACTCATTTTCTTAGCACCCTTCTCCACATCGATTTGGAGCATTGGGGTCTGGGTGGGCCCAAATCCATGTGGAGACAGTGTTAAGAAGACGAGTACTCATTTTCTCAGGACCCTTTTCCCCTTTGATATGGATCATTGGGGCCTGGGCGGGCCCAAATCCATGTGGAACTCATTTTCTTAGCACCCTTCTCCACATCGATTTGGAGCATTGGGGTCTGGGTGGGCCCAAATCCATGTGGAGACAGTGTTAAGAAGACGAGTACTCATTTTCTCAGGACCCTTTTCCCCTTTGATATGGATCATTGGGGCCTGGGCGGGCCCAAATCCATGTGGAACTCATTTTCTTAGCACCCTTCTCCACATCGATTTGGAGCATTGGGGTCTGGGTGGGCCCAAATCCATGTGGAGACAGTGTTAAGAAGACGAGTACTCATTTTCTCAGGACCCTTTTCCCCTTTGATATGGATCATTGGGGCCTGGGCGGGCCCAAATCCATGTGGAACTCATTTTCTTAGCACCCTTCTCCACATCGATTTGGAGCATTGGGGTCTGGGTGGGCCCAAATCCATGTGGAGACAGTGTTAAGAAGACGAGTACTCATTTTCTCAGGACCCTTTTCCCCTTTGATATGGATCATTGGGGCCTGGGCGGGCCCAAATCCATGTGGAGACAATGTTAAGAAAACGATTACTCATTTTCTTAGCACCCTGTTCCACATGGATTTGAAGCAGTGGGGTCTGGGCGGGCCCAAATCCATGTGGAGACAGTGTTAAGAAAACGAGTACTCATTTTCTTAGCACCTTTATCCACATGGATTTGGAGCATTGGGGCCTGGGCGGGCCCAAATCCATGTGGAGACAATGTTAAGAAAACGAGTACTCATTTTCTTAGCACCCTGTTCCACATGGATTTGAAGCATTGGGGTCTGGGCGGGCCCAAATCCATGTGGAGACAGTGTTAAGAAAACGAGTACTCATTTTCTTAGCACCTTTATCCACATGGATTTGGAGCATTGGGGCCTGGGCGGGCCCAAATCCATGTGGAGACAATGTTAAGAAAACGAGTACTCATTTTCTTAGCACCCTGTTCCACATGGATTTGAAGCATTGGGGTCTGGGCGGGCCCAAATCCATGTGGAGACAGTGTTAAGAAAACGAGTACTCATTTTCTTAGCACCTTTATCCACATGGATTTGAAGCATTGGGGTCTGGGCGGGCCCAAATCCATGTGGAGACAGTGTTAAGAAAACGAGTACTCATTTTCTTAGCACCTTTATCCACACGGATTTGGAGCATTGGGGCCTGGGCGGGCCCAAATCCATGTGGAGACAATGTTAAGAAAACGAGTACTCATTTTCTTAGCACCCTGTTTCACATGGGCTACTGTCTAAATGACTTTGCCTGAACGTGGCCGAAATGGTGTGTACCTTCGGGCCCCGCCTCGTTTGGAAGAGAAACGTATTGGTTAGCTCCACCGTACTGTCAAGATATGATAAATGATGAAGCATGGGAAAAGTGCACTAGCGCAGACAAATATGGGAGTCTTCTGCAGCACCGAATATATGAAGGGTCTAGACGGGAGCACATGAAGAGAGTTGGAATATGCACCCAGTTATGAACGCAGAAACATGGCATCCACGGCACGGAATTCATGTCTGCTACTGGGTTCTTCGGTTGAAACATTGAGGCATGCTGTTTCGGTTGTATCAGTGTCGATTGCATCAGCATAGCCACTCCCCATCCCGTCGGTTGGTGTTGCAAACAACGACCAAGGATGCTTTAACTTGGTGGGCCGTCATAAATCCTTTGCGCTTTTTTATTCATTGCATAAACAAGTTAGAGACCTTGCAGTCGCTAGACTCATGCGGCTACCTGATGAACCGAGCCACTTGTGGACCCTTAGGTCATGTTCTTCAACAACCATGAGTTGCTGGAAGCCTGGGGCTGCGAAAACGTCCGATGAACCCAGGTTTCTGTCACCGCTTGAAGGTTTTGAGGGCAGAAACAGGTTGTCTCGGTAGTTCGCTGGAATCTGCGCCGCGGGAAGCATCGGCTTGAAGATCCGCTTAGTAGGCTATGTTTTTCCGACCCATTGGATTCTGAATTGGAAAATACGAGACCTTACAACATTCAAAACGCTGGCTTCCGAAATTGCGGTACCACCGCTAAGTCTCACCGGTTTGGCTGTAGTCTTCCATGACACAGGACTGGGCAACTAGTGGTAAGCAGCAAAGTTGGCAATATTTCACTAGCGCCGAGCTAGCGCCCAGCTAGCGCCAAATGCGACCTAGAAAACATGAAATAATCAGTTTAAAACATCAATCGCATGACGCTGCTCCAAAGGTTTGCAAACCAACATACGGTTGAAGACATTTCTGGTTACGGAATGCCGTCGGGCATTCAGTCCAGAATCCAGCTTGTGGCTACGGCCTTTGGGGTCGGAAAGACATAGCCCACTACGCGCATCTTCAAGCCAATACTTCCTGCAGCGCAGATGCCAGAGAACTACCTGAGACATCCTGTTTCTACCCTCAAAAACCTCAAGCGGTGACAGAAACCTGGGCTCTCGGACATCTTCCGCCCCCAGGCTTCCGGGACCTCATGGTTATTGAGGAACATGACCTAAGGGTCCACAAGTGGCTCGGTTCATCACGTAGCTGAATGAGTCTAACGACTGCAAGGTCTCTAACTTGCGTATGCCTATCAAAAAGCGCAAAGAATGCGAGTGACAAGATGGAAGCATGACGTCGTGGACATGACGGCCCACCAAGTTAAAGCATCATTGGTCTTTGTTCGCAACACCAACCGACGAGATGGGGAGTGGCTATGCTGATGCAATCGACACTGATACAACCGAAACAGCATGCCTCAATGTTTCAACCGAAGAACCCAGTAGCAGACATGAACTCCGTGCCGTGGATGCCACGTTGCTGCCTTTTCAGCTCCGCAAGTGCAGATACGGCACTGCCAACTGGAGCCCGCATAAGGCTGTTATATCTCATCCACCAAATCACAGAGCGCTCCAACATACATACAGACATACATACATATATACCTGTGTATAAATATGTATAAAAATAGATATATTAATACAAACCCGCACACTCCATGATATACCTTGTTGCTCTAGCGCCAAACTATCGCTAATCTAGCGCCAACATGGGGATTAACCAGCCCTAGTTCGGGCCCCGCCTCATTCCGAAGAGTAAAAAACACTCTCCAAAGATAGTTATGGCCACCCTACTTTCCACTCTTCAACCGCGCTTAAAGACAACCTCCCACATGGATTTGGAGCATTGGGGTCTGGGCGGGCCCAAATCCATGTGGAGACAGTGTTAAGAAAACGATCTTAGCACCCTCCACATGGATTTGGACCTGGGGGATGGGGCGGGGTCAAATCCAGCCAACAATATGATTAAGAATATGAGTACTCGTTTTCTTAACACTGTCTCCACATGGATTTGCGCCCCAAATTCCAAGGAATCAGTTCGCAAGCGTCAGAGGCAGCGGAAACGATCCCCATGTCAGACATTGCGGCTTCCCACTACGAGGAAGGCAGGTGGAATGTTGGAGGTGTTAGTTAGCACCTGCTCCCTGCAAATGCCTGCTAAGAAAATACTCAGAGAATGAGTGGGCACTGGATTCTGAGAGCCACATTCTCATGGAAGAGCAAGCTAAGAAAATGAGTGACCTCTGAGCTCACTGACTTGTTTTCTTACCCAACGCTTGCACTGTACCCTGTCAAAACAAAGGCTATGCGGCCTTGCCCAAGTCCACCAGGGTGTGCTCCACGTCCTGCGAACTTGCCAAATTTACAGTGAATGAAGGGGGCAAGTGCAGGAGCAGGTTGCCGCCTCCTCGCCGGTGAACCTGGCAGCGCGCACGACATCAGGATAAGCAAAGCAGGGTGCGGCACCAAAGCTCTGAGGGCCCATTCGCATGCCCAACCTTTGGCATGCAGCCCTTCATCGTCCTTCATCCGAACCGACCTTGCCTGTCAACCCCTACTAAACGCTCAGCTACTAGTCATCACTTTTCAATATTCTCCTTTCAGGCGTCCCTTGAAGGCTTGTCTTTGGGCTCGGAAACGTGACAAACCCGGAATACGTTCGAGCTGAGGTTGGCCACTCTTGACTCTTCCTCTTAGGATTTGGCTGATGTCGTCCCACCCGTTCTGTTTGCTGGTCACTGGCTTGGTAATGAACCTCCCTCTGCTCAGCTGATGTCGCACAGAACAGAGAGGTCCCACATCAGCCCGAACGAAAGGTTGACTCAATCGCCAAAAATCTCGCAAACTGCAACAACCCTGCAATCCTGAAATCACCAACGGCGTCTGCCCTCTTTCGGGCAGCCATTCTCAAAAACAGCAAGTCGCATCCCGGGACGGGCTGTCCGGGATCGAGAGCATCTGAAACCTTCAGAAAACACCTCAACCGCATGGCTGGGACGTACAACTAACTCACTCAATCGCCTCACATCGAGGCGCCCTACCGGACCCCGACATTACAGTTGAAACTTTCTGTACATTGCCGCATATTGCTGCCGTGGGTTCTCTGAAGGTTACTTCAAGTAAGCACCTGCATCCAACCCGGCCCTCCTGAACCTTCCAGCTGCCGCCCAATTCTGGTAGATATCGCTGGTGAACAGATCTGATTAAAGACATGGTTGAAACAGAACTGAACTGAATGGCCAGGGGCTGGCCTGGCGAACCCCATCAGCGCAGCAGTGGAAGTTGGTGACAATGGCGTCGTATCAGCCAAGCCAGGCGCGGCAGCATCTCGCGCAGGCAAGATCGAACATTTTCCAAAGCTCGCTGCACCATGGAAAACGCTGAATGTTAAGTCGCCCCCCAAAGCCGTAACTCCGCGAAAACCGCCGGTGGTAACGTGCAGTCTTACGGTCTTACGGCTAAAGGCCACTGCAGAGCAGGGCGGAATGCTCGCAGTTTCGTATGACTTGGGACTTGGGACCGTCGCATGGCAGTACTTCGCATGACTCATAAGCAGTCACCGCAATCATCTGTCGTTTAGCGGGCAAATCGCAAAACCTTCTTCAACTTTGTGCTTTGCAGCCGTTGAAACATCTTCCATCGGATGTGACAGTTACAACACCAAGCACAACTATGCGGGAAGAGGTGCCCGCGATTTTTTAGTCGCACTGGGAAAGCCTGAGGCAATGGAGATCAGTGGAGCAAACTTGCACATCCTCGTCTGACTTGCCTTCCGCTGGCCAGCTGCGGCACCAAGAGTCCACCGTCAATGCCAAGACCTGCTGCTGTGGGCCATTCATGCAAGAACTGAGAAATCCATGATTGGTGCAAACGCAGCTTCCAACTTAAGCCGTGGACGGGGCTGTTGCTAACCTAAGCTGGTGCGATTGAACTGGCTTTACGCACCACGGCGCGGAATTTCAACCTAGACCAGGAGCGTTCTTTAGCTTTTGCTGGTGCGTGAATCTGTCCCACCTACCTACTTGCAAAATCCTGCTGTGTCCATTTCTTCGCCTTGTTTTCGATGATCAATTCCTGAAACACGGTCGCCAAGCCTCTGGCAGCAATTGCCACGACCTGGAAAGTGCACTTCGCAGGCTGAAGCAGGTGTTGAATTGCCCAATGCCGGGCTGCCGGCTACTCCAAGGGCAACAGCTTCGGCACGTTGTGCCCTGCACGCACTTTCAGCTGCGGTGCCGTCATGGTGACATGGTGATCATCGTTGTGATGCAGCCCGGGCCCTTCAAGCACCGGTACCACCAGGTTTCCAACCGTCAACGCAACCAGCAGATACCTGAACAAGCGCGGAGCAAAACCGTTGCTTGGAATTTTCGGGGATGGAGCGACGTCATTCATCACTGTGCATTTCGACGTGGGCGTTGCCGAATATTCGCTGGTCGTGCGCAACGCCCTTCCGCTAGGCCTTCCACGCTCTTCCACACACCGGGGTTTTGGCACAGCTAGCTTTGTGGCACTATTGTCACGCAGAGCAGCTTGCTGCAGTGTGCTAGAGCTTCGGCATTCGGGGCTTATCATGGGCCGAGGGTCGCAAGATGGACGTTCAGCTTCAACGGATCTTCCGCGCATCTTCCCCCGACCCACCTTGGAGACCCTCCCACAACCTAAAAGTTTTGCCCATGCGTAATCGCGGAAGTTGCAGGAACTACAGTAGGACTGCAGTAGGCGCTTCTAAAACCTTCCGCTCGGACTTCCAAGCGACGATTCGAAACCATGGAGGCGCTGCATGCTAACATATGTTGACAGAATCCTGCCCTATACAAGGATGCCACGCCCATGTCTTGACACGAGATGCAAGCAGGGCGTTGGGAATCCTCTTTGCATAGCTCCGTTTGGTGATGCAGCTCGGGGAAACAAGAAACCTGTAGCAACTAGCTTCATACCCCTGCACTGAGGCACTTAGCTTCGACAACAGCTCGGCATGTAATGCATGACGAATTGTTTCAGCACGGCTCTTTCTCCAAGTTCAAGCGTGTCGTGTTTGTGGTCTTTCTCCTCTACTGCCTGTGATCTCAGTACATGAGTCGGGAATGCCTGTTTCGAATTGCCTCATGTTTGGGGTGCATGTGTGGAGGTGGTCCGCAAAATTCCACAAATGTCCACAAGCCCCCGCCTTCGGATTGTTGGTTTGTTCAAGCTTTCAACTTTTTGCAGGGCATCAGAACTGTGGGGTGAAGGTGCGATCCGGTCTGTCTCTTTTGCCCGGATGCACGCGGGTGCGGGGGGGTCGGTTGCGCGACGTGAGAGGATAAACATAATATGTCTTGGTTTTACGACACAGCCACTAGTAGAGCTGTGTTGTTTGGGTCGCAAGCAGTAGATGTGGTCGGCATGCGCTGTTCGGTCTGCAGCTGAGAAACCTCGCAAGCTTGCCAAGTTACTGCTACAAAATGGGCAACCGAGCCTGGTGCAATCGTTGCCCACAGGAAACATGAGGAAACCAAGACATTCGATCAGCAGTCTGCATGAGGTACGACACAGTGGCCTCATGCACTGCGCTATTGCTGGTAGAAGAGCATCTGCCTCAAACAAACTGATAAACTCGCACAACTTGAGCTCGATAACTCAGCCCGGACAACAAGACTTGGTGGTACATAGGCTTGGAGTGGCTACAGGCGGCTGTGGGTTGTAGGGAAACGCCAGCCTCTTCCGGACTGCGCTGCGAAGTTCCCGACGATAATATGATGCTTGCCTGCTGACAGCTGAGAGAATGGATTGTAGACTTGCAGAAACAGTTCGGCAATCGAACTACACATCGCGACATCCTGCACTGTGCCTCACAAAGACTGGTACAAAAAAGCACTGACAAACTTGTGGCACCACTGAACCTTAGCAAAGAACGCACTGCTCATCTGGTTTCGTCATCAGAAGCCAGAGCTTGATCTAGCAGCCTGAGCCTGATGCGTTGCATCTGCACACAGTCTCCGCCTCGAACGTGCGAACCAAAAGCCTCTAACCTGCAGGCTGCGGCTGCAGTTCACCGTCACCCCAGCAGCAATTACACGAACTTCCAAACATACTCTGCCGACGATCGTGTCTCAGAGCTTCACGCAGCAAGGGACAATAGAGAAGATGCAGCCTATGGACCTTGAGCCACTGAAGGGTACAAAACAAGACGTCATCAGCCCGCCTCAAGGAGCACGATGTCAGCCAACATATCCACAACCAGTCGATCCTTTCCAATGAAGCCAACCAGCTTTCCGAGACATGCGCAGCTGTCGGAGAACCTACTAGTACATGGTGCAGACAGACCCCGGACACTGCTGGAACTACCCAAACAAGTTCCCTGCAGGGTGGATGGAACAGCGCAGGCACACAGGCAATGAAGCGGGAGGAGCATGAGCAGGGATAGGCACCAGCTAATGCCGCTCCTAGCCAACCAGTGCACACCCCTCGGATGCAGGACTTAGGAATGTCCTCCCGAAAGTAGCGCAGCCCGTCGATGCCCAATCTGTCTTTGCATGCCTTGTGACGATTGCAAAGCTGTTTCCGAAGCAGACTCTATCCCCACCGCTGATGTGCTGGCGTCGCAAAAAAGCAGTCACTGTGCCAAGCCTTCCATCCCTGGGCGTCTGGTACGACCGTAGCCCACGAAACAAAGCCCTGCCGGTGCACCAACTAGGTCCACCAGACTCCCTAGGCGCGCTTGTTGTGGATGCGCCTTCAGCATCATCAGCAAAGCTCCAGCAAAGGTCGTCTGACACCAGAGTCGCATGTCACCCAGGCGCCAGATCTGAGCACAGTGTGCCGGTGTGCTGGTCTGTCGTCGACAGAAGAGCTCACTGCAGTGCTTAGGTCGCGACTAGTCCAAGGCAAAGTATCTGTCACTGGTTAGCAAGTGAAGCTGACGCTGCGAAATCATCAATGCAATACCCGTCGTACACCGAAAACGACGGAGCAGCTTATGCAAACTTTGGTGGCTCCACCGGCAGAATGTCCGTGATAGATTCCAGCAACAGCGACATGAAGCCAACATCCGAGCTGAGCCACCTGAAGCAATTGAGTAAATCAGACAGCCATCAGTTCTGTGCGCAAAACCGTGACCCGCATCCCGGGTGTCAGCACAACTTTACAGAAATCAACGTCAGGTTTGTGACTTACTGCGAGCCCGATTCCGGCCTGGCACCACGCAGGGTACCGCCTCCGAAAGACAGCGGTGACAAGAAAACTATACCATACTTTCTGAGGATTGCAAGGCAATTGGCAAGCTCATACACCTGGCTCGCTCTCTTGCCTGTGGGGAACGGCAGACCCACCCGTCTCTTTGCCCATTGAAGCGAAGCGAGAAGATTTTTCAGGAGTTTTCCCCTTGCAGTAGAGCCCCCCCCCCCCCCCCCCCCGCATTTGAGAATTTGAGAGTGGGAGCTCCTCTGCGAAAAAGATGCGAAATCCCCCAGGTGGGTTTCGTTATCGTTGAAAGCTCGTCACGTCGAATGGGGCTCAGGGACTCGCCTAAGGTCGTACGGCATCGGAGCTCTGACACGCACAGCCTCGGAACAGCAAAGCCTCACAACATGCACTGCAGCCAAGCCAAGACTCCAGCTCAATCACACCTTGGTCCGGCACAGTGAGATGTCTTATGTGTGCCTGTGAAATGTGGCCAGTACAGGACAATACAAGACAACCGTTGAAAGGTGCCACCACACAACTCCAGCACGCTGGGCGGGTCGGATCAGAGCGCACTGGAGCGAATCTGCAGAGTGGGCACACGATTCGCCTTTCGGGGTGGGGATTTGAGCAACTAAAAGTTTAACTGAAGCTGGACATGGAACGGGGCCGAATGGCCACAGACATGGCACGTTACCGAGCAGACTGGCGAGCCTGAGAGCCTTAGCAGATACGGTTGTCCTCAGACCTCAGACACGACTGACCCTGGGTGCAGATGCCTACACCACCACACTGAGCAAGTCGTCACCCGCTCGAGGGAGAGCCGGAACTGCTACTGCTGCTACTGCTGCTATTGCTAATGATCACCCAGCCAGCGCTGCCCACCTGAGATGCCCTGCAGCCGCTCTTCCGTGGTTCAGAAGAGTTTTGCCGCGCACCCAAAGCGGCCCCAAGAGGTGTAGGGGCAGTTCGTCTCTCTTCCTTCCTTTCTTCCTGAGTTCGTCTCTCTCTCTCTCTCTCTCCCCATCTCTGGGGCATCCAGCCCGCTGTGTTTCTGCAGGCTGTTGGAGAGGTGGGTGTGGGTTAGGGGCGGGTTTGTGTCGTGTCGGCGCTGAGCAGGTGTCGGCTGGTTCAAGGCGACGGTGTGGGTGGTGGGGTGGTGCTGTAAAGGCCTCCCCTGAAGCTAGAGTCACTCCCCCATCATTTTGACACATGCACACAGCTGACGTGACCTGTCGGGGCCATCAGTGGAACAGCTACTTTATCCCCGATCGACACATCTTTCTTTCTTTCGCAAGAAATACGGGCAAGACCCCCGTGTGGAGGCACGCCCTCCGTTGAGGGCTCAATCGGACGATTTGCAAGTTTGCATGGCTCAGTGCCTCGACACGTCTCTCTTTTCTTCTCTCAGGCATCAGGGACGAGTCAAGATTCCTGGGCATCAAGCCTGAGAGTTTCACGATGGACATGCAATTATTTCGACATGTCAATGTGTTTCTGGTCATCCTCCATCATTTGGAGCCATGCATATCAATATATGTCCATGTCAAAGTTCCAAAGAGTACAACAGGAAAGTTTTGTAAAAAAGCTTACATCGCTGGCTCTCTCTTTTTTCTTTCGCCAGGGCTATGGTGTAGGGGATTGACCCCCTACGCCCTACACCCTCTCTCTCTCTCGCTCTCTCCCTTCGCTCGCGCGCACACCCCATGATCAAACATCGTTGCGCCTTCCAGCGCACTGGCCGCTGCCGCCGTCGCATCGTTCGACGGCTTGTGCAACTCATCCTTGCGCCATGTTTGCCAAAACCCCAAAGCTTTCTGGGAAGCCGTCGAGACCCGGGCCATCCATCGGACGTATCTCTGCCTGACATGTCGCCCTACGAGTACTTCCGCAGGATGTTCATCGTCTCCGCCGTGTCTTGCGTGTCCATTCATCAAAACTCCTGTTCAACTCACGGCGGATCCACGTGGCGAAGTAGAGCCCAACCTCAGAGCAATCGTGTGGTGCCTGGAGCCCAGCCCTACTGCAATATACAACAACGCGTATCATCCACATGCTGCTCAGTTTCTTCTTTTGGTCTCCGTGATCGTTTATAGTGCGTGTTCGCGTATAGGTTGTGTTTTGTGTCTCTTGAAGTGCACATAGTACTTGTCACTCTCTCTGGCTTGCTTGCACGGGTGACGACGCAGCACTAGTAGACACGTACAGTACACACATACATACGTACTAAGTACATACATACACATACATACATAAACACCTATACATATGATGTATATATATATAAATATACATACACCCACATATGTTTATATATGTGTATGGTCGTGTATGTAAGTATACATGTACACACATTTCTATCTCTTTATCTAGCTATATATTATATATATAAGGCGCATGTACACCATAGTTATACATGTACAAATATGTATATATGCATACGCTGACTGTGCAAATACTCAGTTTGTACTTTTTATATGAACATCTACCTATCTATATATATATATATATGTATATATATATATGCATACAATATGTACATACATAGATATACATACGTGTGCGAAAACTGCGTGTGTGTATATATATATACATATATGTGTACATTCTGTATGTAACTCGAATATGTACTAATACATGTATATATGTGTATATACACATTCCCACCGTCCTTCCTTCCTTCCTTCGTTTCTTGCTCTCCTTCCTTCTGTTCTTCCTCCTTCCTTCCGGCGTCCGCCATGCCAGAACAAAAAAAGATCGAACAAAGGCGCCCTCCGTCTGTGAGAGATGCAGGGCTGCTGCAAGTCGTCGTGCATGAGGCCGGGGGCAGATTTGTCCGCGGCTTCCGGCTGTAGCAGCTGCCCTTGCCCTCTAAAAGTCTTTTCCAAACGGTATGTCAACGTTGAAGTTTCTAAGCAGCAGACATTCTCTGCGAAAAGGCCAACGAGCAAGAATAGGCTTGGCAGAGCCCAACGCAGGATCTGCAGACCTCACAGCCAGTACTGCCGTCTCCAAACGGTGGATTCATCACAGATCGCTGCATACAAGACGGCGACCTTCCTTGCTCAGAAGACCGTGTTGAATCGACCTCGATGTGCCTGGAAATGCGCGCGCTTCTTCCCCAAATCTGCATCACATTATGACTCTCATTCTAGAGTCACCAAACTCCTCCTGGTCTAGCCACAGTTTTTTACAGTTCTGGTGTCCACAAAATCCGGACTGGCCAAAGGCTCGTGTAACAGTTCAGCTTAGGCGACCACGCGGAAACTGGCCGGTCTCTTGTGAGCCTCAGGAGTAGAAGCTTAGAAGTGGCTTTCTGATCGCATCGACGCATCAGCTCATCACTGCATGCCGAGGGCTGAAACCGCTGAAGCCATCCGGGTGCAACAGGGCCGAAGGCCTGCGGCAGATGAACACCGACAGCGGTCAACGTCTGCAAAGCATGCACTTTTTCTCGAAGTATGGCTTATGCAAAGCTCAACCAAGAGAGATGTTTTTGCACTGTCCCAGTGAACTACAGAAGAACTGCGAACGCCGTTAGGCAGGCGAAACAGGGTCAACAATTATCTCGGCAAGGTGCGCCACAACCGGTTTTGAGCTCCCTTTCGAAGACTGCTCGTGCTGCTGTGGACATTTTCTCGAATAGGTTCCAGCCCAGCTCTTTCGCCGCGCATTGATGTCGTTGCGACTATAGTAGCAGCCATCTGCGGTGCGCCTGCCGGACCCCTTCGAACTACTCAATTCCCAACGTTCACACAGGTGGAAGGAACAACCAACTTCATGGAAGACATTGGATGTGAGCCGTGAGCAAAGCAGTTCCCTGGACCCCGGGTTGGATACGAACGCATGCCGACTCGTCCTCTACCGCTTCCCGGAGCCTCGAAGCTTCGAGCCGCGGCCTGAGCTCACTCACAGTTCCAAACGAAGGTTAACGAACACGAAGCCTCGGAGCAAAAAAATACGCGAAGTGCCATGGAACTTCCCTCTGTAGAGCTACGACGATCTGTCCATCGCGATCACTCTTCGTCTTTCCACTCTTGATCTTTCCCTAGGTCTCTCAAGCCTTATCATGTGCTTCTGCGCTCGGCATGCCGTCCGTTTAGTGAGTTTGCCTCTGCACGGCTGTGCTGTCTCCTCGGCATATCTCGGCATCCTCAATCAAGCGCACAAACCACGGTCATGCGCGCAAGATCGCTCCATCTAAATATATATGTATATATATACGTATATACATATAATATATATATATATATATATATATATATATATCATATTTCGATTTTCCATTTCGAAATGTTTGCCTTGGGACATGCTGCATCAGTCTGCACAGGACCAGGATACCTGATGCACACCTGGCTCTATTTGCACGTCGCATACGTGGTGTTTGCACGGCATAAGGCATCATAAATGTATGCGAAATGTAGGCATGCGTGCACATATGTAAAATATTTGTATGCGCGCTGAACCTTAATCCTCCATTTGACGCGCGGCTTCTTGTAGTTTGAATGTTTCAAGTATTTGCACTGCAGAAGGGGAGCAAAAATACATCTTAAATAGTGAACATGTTTGACGCGTTTGGAATGTTCGAAGTTCGCCGAAGGGTGCCAAACGAAATTTATCTGAAACTATTTGGAATTTGAAACGATATGTTCGGAGTGCTTGAAACTGCGGAAAAGACCCGAACGGCAAGCAAGCGTTCTAAAGGCCTGGGAAATGCAACTGCTACCGGAATATCCGCACTGTGTTCCAGAAACGTATGCTTTTAAGAGTTCCACACATCTTAAAATCTTAAATGGTTAAAATGTTGAAGATGCTTGAAACGATGGAAATGCGGAAAAAAGAGCCACAAAAGCTTTTGTCGTTTTTCTCTTGGCCAAAGTCCCTTGCCTACTTTTGCAAACCATTGGTGTGACCGCGGGCACGAGGGGTGGCAAATTGGCGGGTTCTGGCTTCTTCACAAATTTGTTGATTTCGCTCACCGGAAGAAATATATTGCGCTCCGTTTGCCAATCTCGAACGCGTTCGCGGAACTGGGCTTGTAGCTGAAGGGGTCCTCCTCATCGGTTCTCAGAATATGGCCAGCGAGCTTAGTACACTTCTCCCCAACCAACTCCGAATGAGTTGGTTGCTATATGGTTTGTACTTACTACAATTTGCTCGGTTCACATAAATGTTATCTATGCCCGGGATCTTTCTATGTAATTCCTCGCAATTGAAATGCATTTATTTGATTGAAATGATTTTAACTGCCTCCGACGCAACTGGCATCCCGGCATCCCGTTGACGACGCCAACTTAGGCATGTTCAAAGCTTTTGGAAATGAAAGTGTTCCCGAAATCGCCGGACTGGGGTAAGACTCCAATTCCAGAGAGTTCGGGCAGAACTAAAATTGAAGCATATTATGTTATGTTAAAGGTTGGAGATACGGACAAGCAGCGAGAAACAAACATAATTGAGATACAGAAAAGCTGCGCAAAACAGATATTCGAAACACATGATTGAAATGTCGGGAAAATGATGGAAATGCACTTTTGAGAAGGGCAGAACAAACACTGTTACAATCTAAAATGTTCGAACTGTTTGGAATGGTTCAAGTGCTGAAAAAGAGTGCAGTTCAAACATGCTTCTCGTGTATGGTACCGTTGTAATGCTTCAAATCCCAACCAATGCTCCCGCAAGACTGACTCCGACTCCAAAGTTATATTATAGGACGGAAATGGATGTTCAACTTTCTAAGGTTGATGGTTTGGGGTTTGCAGTGGAATGACACGCAAGCGACAATATCTTTCGATAAGGCTATGTCCGGTGCATCATACTGTGGCGATGCCACAGCGGATTGTTTCTTCCCAGAATTTTCCAAGCGAGGCAGGGCAGCGTTGCCAGGCGGGCAGGGCAGGGGCAGGGCAGTGGGCAGCGTCTTGAGTTTAGGGTTTAGGGTTTATGGTTCAGCAGCTCCAGATCGAGCAGTATCTAGTCCAGGTTTTTGTTGGTAACATGGAAAACACCCACCCACCCGCCCAGAGAATCCCAAAACATGACGCACGATATAAAAGTTACATTCTTCCCTGTGCCCCAAACGAAATCCTAAACCCTAAGCGAACTTTAAACGGAACCCTACAAAGCGAAACCTTGACCCTGACAAAAGGTGCTTTAACCTTGCCCACGAAGAAACCCAGCTTGCCCACGAAGAAACGAACCTTGCCCACGAAGATCATTAAGGTTTACCGTTACTATATTGGATAGAGAGTTTATAATGATTGAACTGCTTGAAATGCAGTGCAAGAGAGCATTTCACCATTCAAGCGTGCGAGGATTGCCGGAAACTTCGGATTGGGTTGACTCCGATTCCAGATGCCTTCTGCCCTTTCCACACCTTTCTGTGACCTATTATGCCACACAGAAAACGAGCCTGAGGAAGAACACATGGGGAAGCAGAAGGCATGCAAAGGAGAGGAGAGCTCCTGCATACCTCTCCGTTTGTCACTTCTCTTCTCTTGCAATCATTGTGTTCGACCTTCTCCTTGTGTCTTCCATGTAAGTGAAGTGCAGGGGAGCACAAGAACCTTTCCTCTTCCGTTTTCCTGAGAGGGAAGTGGCACGAACATCTCCTCGTCCTCGGATTTTCTCTGTACTAGAGGCTGGGGAGAGCTGCATGCCCGGAGATAAATCCACGGTGCATAGTGGAAGCAAGTTTGACGATGGCAAAGTTGGCGATGAAGAGGTTGGGCACCACTCTGAATACATCTTTTCCATTGCTCTTTCCTTCGAACTCCCTTTCGTATCCTGCTACCACGGTGTGTAAAGAAGCAGAAAGATGCGGAGACCGAAAGAGATAGAGCACATGCAAGCGAAGAAAGCCAAGCGAGGGAGGGAGAAGGTAGGAAAGAGATCCGGGTATCTCTCCACACTCTCTCTCCGGTTTTCCTCTTTCTCATGAGGAGAGAGTCACGACGTGGAGCAAGCATGCCGTCTCCCCTTGGCGCACCTTTCTGGGAGTTGCAATACTTCAACAAACGAGTAGGAAGAACACGGAGGGAAGCAAACGAAAAGGAGAGAATTTCCTTTGCTCTCCGGTTGTCATGTCTTCTCTGTTCCTATCATTTAACTCGGTCTTCTCGGTGTCTCTTCCATGGAAACTTGCGGAAGGGGTGCGGACAAACCACGATCTCTATTTCCCTCGGCCCTTAAGGCTCTTGGCCTTTGTCTTTCGATCTCGCGCGGCCCCGAGAAAAGAAGCATGAGAACGAAGGTGTGGAAAGGTTAAACACAGCTTGCCTACAGACTCCAGACGACGAACAGAGGATCCCACTCCGATTACGTGCACCGGTGCAGGCTGCGTACTGGCCCAGCAAATTTGATTCAGGCTCCCACCCGCAAATTGTGGCGTTGTGTGAGCGACAGCGCACGGTGAAGGTGCTACCGTTCCCGTGGCCGTGCAAGGCCACAATCTCAGAAGGACTGACGTGCCAAGTGGCACGGCCGTCAAAGGCTCCAAGTTTGGGCTGCAGGTACACAGTGTGTGCATTCCTGTGTAAGGCAGCAAATGTGATTCGGGTTTCCACCCACAAAATGTGTGTGTGTGTGTGTGTTTGCACGTCCGTCAAGCGTTTCAGGCACTGGCAACAACGAATCAGAGGTGCGATGTGGGTGCTACCGTTCGGCTGGTGTAGGAGATTGTAACAATTCCCATCACGCGTTCCCTGAGGCCGGAATACGATGTATCCTGTGCACCCTGTGCTCCCCATTCCTGTGCAAACAAACCCGCAAATACATGTATATGCTCAAAGCCGCCAAGAATCCGCGATACCGCCACCAATCCTCCTACGTTTCGGCTTCTGGTGTATGATCCAGGCTGACAGGGGAGAACACGGGATGCAACCCTTGGCGCAGATACTCCGAGAGATGATTTCCCCAACGATGAAAACGATTTCTGTCTGAATACCCGAAGCTCAATATGGCGCTCCAGTATTCACTTCCAAAAATTACCACCACAGCAATCTCAAATCAAAGCCCTCATTATTCGTCTGATTCAGCGTGGCCTTGACTGACTCCAACTGCTGAACAACATTCTCCCTAACACTAACCTTGCCGTGGGTGACTCTGACCTTACTTAGCCCTGATAAGAGCCCAGGGATGTCCATAAGATCAACAACCCCAGGAATATCAAAACCTTGTTTTCGAAAGTCTGATGCTAGCCTACCATTAAAGTTGAGTTTGCACACTATGGGTATCTTATTAGCTAGCCTCACCCTAGCCTCGTATAAGCCTTGCCGTAGTAATAGTTTGGATAACCCTGCTATGCTGGTTCATGTTCATCCTGAAAGACGCCTCATATCTCAACAGAATAGCTCTTATGGGTTAAAACGCTTTCTTGACTAGTAACCCCAATATTCCGCCGCATATGAACTTCCCTCTCGACCTAAAGCTGCACATAAAATGATATAATGACCTCTCTGGCACCGGGATATTGAGGACTCTGGACTCTCCCTGGCAGTCTCAATGTTTGATTCTACGATGGACCTTGCTTGCAAACTTAATCTGGCCCATAAGCTGTCCCTGTTGCTATCCTTCGTCATGCATCGAGTACTTCCCTCAACAGCAACCCCAATAATAGCTTTGGGAGAAAGTCCTATCATTGGCCTCGCCAAAAACTTAATTACTCCGGATGTACCTGTGGCATCCCGGCATCCCTATCATGAGCATTCATGAACCCCACAATGTTCAAGCGATGGCAGGCCCCAAATTAAGTACTGCGAATATCAGTACCTGTAAGCTAAATACCGGCCCAAACTAACCGCAACGGCAACAAACAGGAGTTTATTGATGCGGTGGTCCTCAGCCGTCTAAGCTGTGCAATGATGGCACTTATATAAACGGTGATAAAAAAAAATGTTTGCTT